TGATACCCAAGCTATTTTAACATCTTTTTCTTGACCATAACTGGCTGATCCTACTCTTTAGGTATAAAAATAAGGATACAGCAACAGCCCTGAGGGAGATTTCAATCCCAATATCCTCTTTTTTCCCCCACCTCCATGCAGGGGAAACAAGACTTAAACATCAAACTTAATGACTTACATTGAAAACCACATGATTAATCCCTAAGCTCCATTATTGAAAGTGTCTGTCAAGGGAAAAATTATGTCAACTCTTGGAACAGGGGATCATGGGGAGGAGGCACAGCTGGGCAGCCAACAGCATCAGTGCTGCACAATGTGGAGTTTATTTTAAACCTCTCCTAATGTGGTACCCGAGGTCCAGGCTGCCCTCAAATCTCACTCAGAGCTCTGACACTAATCGCTGCACCTGCGGCTCAACCTTCCCAAGACTTGAGACTTCTGATTCGTGAGCAGCCTTGGCTTACCAAGGAAAGAGCTTTCCTACATTAGAAGAGGCTGCCTTCACACAGCTTGTGTCAAGGACTGGCTAATAACCTCACTTAGCTATTTGACACCTTGAAGAATAAGTGAAACTTCCATTACCTGAAAATTTTTTTAAGAAATAAGGTTGTTGGGGCACCTGGGTGGCTCAGTTGTTAAGCGTCTGCCTTCGGCTCGGGTCATGATCCCAGGGTCCTGGGATCGAGCCCCGCATCAGGCTCCCTGCTCCGTGGGGAAGCCTGCTTCTCCCTCTCCTACTCCCCCTGCTTCTGTTCCCTCTCTCAGTGTGTCTCTCTCTGTCAAATAAATAAAATCTTAAAAAAAAAAAAGAAAGAACGTTGTTTACATGGTTAAGGATCCTGGTTTAGGGGCGCCTGGGTGGCTCAGTCAGTTAAGTGTCTGCCTTTGGCTCAGGTCATGATCCTGGGGTCCTGAGATGGAGCCCCACATGGGGCTCCCTGCTCAGTAGGGAGTCTGCTTCTTCTATTTCTCCCTCTCCCCCTGCTTGTGCTGTGTCTCACTCTCTCTCTCTCAAATAAATGAATAAAGTCTTAGGAAAAAAAGGATATTTTATTTTGTTCTGTGTAGATGATGGCAACACATATAATGGAGGCTGTGTAATACTGGTGGTAAGTAGCGATAATATCTGAGTAGCAGCATGTGGGCAGGTACTAGGTTGACTTGGCATACTTTTATAAATTCAACTGGGAAACAATGAGTCAAATGGATATAAAGACTGTATTACATACACAGCATAAACAGAGTCACCATGGTGTCAGCTCTCTATATTCCTAGGAAGGTTAGGACTAGGTGAGACAAGTAGGGTGCTTAGGGCACAAAATTTGAGGAGTCACTCACTTCTAGGATTGTACAAATGCCAATTCTGTTCTTATAGGACTCTAAAATAAGGTGCCTAAGGGACAAAATTTAAGGAGGGACTCATTGTCAGGATCCTGCATGTGCAGGGTCAGCACTTGTGTGACCCTCAGAATGAATGCGTCCCTAAATTGTATACCCTAGACATGTCATCAGTTGCCTCACCTGACCTGGTCCCTAGTCCCACAGGACGACACTAAATTGGATGGACCAGATGACAGACAACAAGGAGGGAGAGGCACCTGGGGAGGAGCCAATCCCATAGTGCACCTCAGCAGTTTTACTGCCTGCCGATGGATCTAAGGTGGGGAAGAGTAAAGTGGAAAGTTCCATGCCTCACTGGTGCCAGAGAGGTGAATGAGAAGCAGCTGTATGGAAGCTCTTTATATGACTGCCTACCTTGTTCTGTTCTCAGGAGGCTGACAGAATATTCCACCAAGACATAGGCCAACCTACTGTTTAGCTCTGCCTATATTGTCCATGTGGGTATGTTCAAGGTAACCAGAATGCCATGGTAAAGCTATTCCCGTACAACTGGTATTAAAAAACACGTTTGCAGTCATACAAATATATTTTGTAATACCACTTCTAATAGCTATATGACATTGGGTAAATTATGTAAACTTTTTAACTTCTTAAGTGAGAAAAGAAATAGGTACTCTGTAAGGCTGTAATGTTAATGTTTATAAGGCATTTACATGGTACATAGTAAGTGTTGAAAGAGTAGATATTTTGTTAGATCTAAATGAACTATTAAATCTAAATGAACATGGTACATAATATAGTTAAATTCTGTAACTAGTTTAAAAACATCAGTTTGTTTTGAATGTTTAGTCAAACATTATTATAATAGTCAGCCAACAAACTTTCTAGGAGATGAGTGTTTTTACTTTTTGATGTATTTTTGTTGTTATCTGTATAAAAAGATATCTAAATAACAAGATAGATGGATTTGTTAAGGATTTCAGTTATATTTGGCAGACAAAATATTCAATAGCCATCAAAAAATGACTCACTTTTAGTTATGTGCAGTGTTCCTCAAAAGATTTATTTATTTCACCTATTAATTTCACAACATAAATGCATTCATGCACACTTATGCTCATTATTCACACCCGAAAGGTTTATTTTTGCATCAAGTGATAGATAAGCTGTGTTTAATTTGGGCATTCGTCCAAGTAGGACACTTTTTTTCAACTTATACTCAAAATAGCGTATAAGCTCAAAAAATCATTTTTCATTTATTTTATTTTTTTAAAGATTTTATTTATTTGTTTAAGAGAGAGAGAGAATGAGAGAGAGCACGAGAGGGAAGAGGGTCAGAGGGAGAAGCAGACTCCCTGCTGAGCAGGGAGCCCGAGATGCGGGACTCGATCCCGGGACTCCAGGATCATGACCTAAGCCGAAGGCAGTCGCTTAACCAACTGAGCCACCCAGGGGCCCAATCATTTTTCATTTAAATGAATAATCAGAATAAGAAGATATATCTGTACTCTGTTTAGAGCCATGAATTCCTAGTTTGCTTTAATTCAACATGTTAAAAATCATGAATCTCAATGCCTTTTGCATTCATCTTCTAAATTCTTTTGCTTTGTTTTTCTCAAGACGATAACTGTCATGAAAGGCTTAAAATTTTAGGAATCTGAGAAATGATTCAGTTTACCTAAGATAGCAATAAATCTTCATATCTATGAAAGTAAGAAATCTTTATGATATAACTTTAAAAAATGCATTAAATAAATGGCTAAAGTGCTTTTAATCTGAATCGGTTTCTATGTTATCTCTCTAATAATGACATCAGAGTGTTTCTCTTTAATGTACTTTATATGTCTTTATATTTAGAAAGGCATGTATTAATTTAAAATGTACTTAAAATCATTTTCTTTCATTTTAAATGTACTTGGAAATCACTTTTCCTATGAATAGAACTTTGTTTTTTGTCATGGTCATAACAGGTATATTTTCAAACAGTGCAGTGATTATGCTTTATTTTCTGTTGATCTAGTATTTTAGCCACTTTACTACCTAATGTTGTCAGTTCATTCCATGAAATTCTAAAACAGGTTTAAAAATTATACTTTTATCTTTGGATTAGAAAATGCTTGTCAGCTTATAAATATGTTTCCCACTTTAGTTTTATTATGTAAGGACATAAGGTTACTTAGATGATTTAATAGGAATGTTAAAGGATCTTGCTGTTTTGAGAGCCGGAAACTTATCTTAAATTTGCAGGTAGGGAGAACATCTGGTTTCAAATGTTACTCAAATGATAGAATCATGGACTTGGACCCTACCATTATATCTTCCCAAATCCATATTACCTTAATTTTCCATAAGACTTCTGTCTCATTGGAAGCAATTTTTATAAGCCTATTTTGGAGCTAGAGTGAGGAAGAGGAAGTTCTTCAAAGGGATGCTGAGTAGGGAAAAACATTATGTACAATATGTTTGTTCCAGTGAAGACAACAATTTTCTTGGCAAGTATTCCTTGTGGTTGCCGTGTCATTTATGGTCCTTGATAAAATAGGCATACGGAAATTCATCACCCATTGAGTTCTTGCTCAAAGTCAGCTTCTTCTGATGGAAACTTTTCATCACATCATTCCTTCCTTCTCCCCTGTCCTGCTGTTTATGTTGCCTCCACATGCTCATTTCAGCCGCATGTATTTTGTTAAGATTCCCTATTTTTGAGATACCAGGGAAATAATGATGTGATTAAGTCCCAAATGAATTTGTAGCATAACTCTTCTTAATGATATAAAGGTATTGGTTGTTTCTCTGATCATAGGCATTTAATTTTCTCTTCCTTCAGTCTTGACTCAGTGATCTTCCATCTTTGATTTCTTACTGCAACTGTATTTCCTGGGTTCCTCATCCCTATCCTTTCAAAAAGATTCAAACAGATAAGTGACTGGGGTCACAAGAAAAAAACTTTTTGTCAAGAAGTGTAACTCTTCAGTGTAGCCCCAAACTCCTCCAGCAGCCATTGAGCAGACAGTTTTGGCTACGCTGTATGTGTACCTGTAAATTGGGCATATGCTCTCTAGTTTGTCACAGCATCACCCATTTCTCCGTGTATGATACTTTTGACAATTATCATTATGCAGGCATGATCTTCTGTAGTTACTGACTGAAGATTAGAAATAACCTTGTAAAAGAATAGCTAATCTATCCATATCTATTTATATTTTTATCTTTTAAGTCCAGTAATAGAGTGGACTACAGATAATTAAAATTTTTATAGGGCAAGCATTTTCCATGGGATTTATATTCTTGCAAATAATATGTTAAATTGCAGTTTTATTAAAATTTCTTTTTTCTGTTATGTCCTCACTTTGACTCCCTAGGGAACAAAACTGCCTTCCTACCTAGAGTGATTTTTTTTTTTGCATATTTCAAGATTAGTCTGTTTACATTTTATTCTTTTTACGGTTTCCACAGAATTAGAGAAAATATCTAGATTTTTAGATACAGGCTATTTGTATAGTGTTACAGTGTGCAAGATTGTCTGAAAATAAAACAAAGAAAACAAATGTAGCTATGTGCCCTAACTTTGTAGCTAAAGAAAATATGACACTATGGGACTGGGAAATTCTCCATGCTGTTGAGTGGCATTTTACAATCAACACCTCTCCCCTTTTCAGGATATCGAATCCCTAACAGGAGGGCTGACTGGTTCTAAGGGGGCTGATCCGCCGGTAAGTTAGATTCTTCATTAAATTTAACTGTTAACAAATTGAATTATGTACACACCAGATCATCAGACAATTACTTGTATACAATTTTCATATAGCTATCTTTTTCAAATATATAGCTATTTCAATAGTATACACACACACACACACACACACATACACACACACACACTAATATATAGTAATTAATACAAAAGTATGAACTTGATTTGAGATATTGTTTGGTGTTTTAAAAAGTTTTAATATCTCATAAAATTCATCTCTGTGTATTGACTCTAAAAAGAATAAAATCTTCATTAGAATATGTAAATACTTTATGTCCTATGGGCTACACGAAAACTTTTGGAACTCGAGGGTTTACCATTCTAGATATGAATGTATGATATGTGTTGCAATATATTTTCTAGTTACTGAGAAAAATTATTTTATTGGCCCATTTTATCAACATTATTGATCCTTGATATTGCTATTTCTTTTCTACTTTATCCAGGGAGCTTCTGGAAAATTAGAGAAGTGTTCTAAAATTTTAAAGGATTATTGTTTTTAAGCAATAAGAAGAGATTGATAGTCTAGTATTGGAACATCTTAGTTCTTTCTGTGATACCTGCTGTAAAAAATATTGGTTAAGATAACATGTGATTTCATGTTTGAAGTACAAACATGAGTTCATGGTGTATATCTAAAGTAATATGATTCCATCTATTTCAACAGAGAGTCAATGCATAAATTTTTATCACTGTTTGCTTTTCACTTAGCACTGTGAGGTTTAATGCTGAACATACAGAACCCAGTGTTATCAATTTTAGTTATACTTCACCGAGGTATCTAGGTGAAGTTCATAATCACATTAAAACATCAGTGAGATGTTAAACAGATAACTTTCAATGGCACCTCTTTCTCTCCTGTCTCCCTTCGATATCTCATGATGTTGTCTAATCATCAAATTGCTCCTAAAGTAGGCTAAACAACGTATTTTAGCCTTTTCCCTTCCTTTTATTTTCATTGTCTGAATTTATGTGGGAAAAAATGTATTGTCTTCAGATAGCTGCTTATATTTAGTCCCTGAACCTATTACATTACAGCTCAAGGCAAGATGAAATGTAAGTCAACCAGCCAGGATATTGTGACAGGATTTACAGCCAGTCTTATATTTAAGTAGTGTAGGTGACTGTTTATGTGATATAATCTTACTCTCCTGCCTGGCATGGTGTTTGTACATAGCACTCAACTTTTATTAGAAGAGTAAATCCGTTTCCTTCAAAATCCCACCTCACCTGTCCACTGATTCCTAAAAGAATTCTACGATTAAGATCAATTGATTTTAAAAGGATTTGTCCCTGGTTCAAATAAAAAATTAACTCACTGATATGAGGAATTTGAGAAATAAAACAGAGGATCATAGGGGAAGGGAGGGAAAAAAGAAACAAGATGAAACCAGAGAGGGAGCCATAAGAGACTCTTAATCTCAGGAAACTGAGGGTTGCTGGAGTGGTGGGTGTTGGGAGGGATGGGGTGGCTGGGTGATGGACACTGGGGAGGGTATGTGCTATGGTGAGCACTGTGAATAGTGTAAGACTGATGAATCACAGACCTGTACCCCTGAAACAAATAATAATTCTATCTTAATAAAAATAAATAAGTAAAATAAAAAAATTAAATACCTCTCTTCTGCAAGGGTGATAAAAATCTTATTCATGATTTCTGTGTTAAAATAAGTTAATCATATCCTTTCAAGAAAACATTTTCCAAATATGGAAGATTGAGTGGGTATAAAAATCTAGTTGTTGAAAGAAGCTTCTTGAAAGGAAAAAAGATCACAGAAAGGAAAGATGGTGTACAGAAGGCAAGCTTCATCAACTTCATTCCCAGTAGCTAAAAGTGAAGTGTGTGTGTGTGTGTGTGTGTGTGTGTGTGTGTGTGTGTGTGTGTGTAGTTTATAATACTGTGAAATAGAGATTCTCTCTTGGCCATGACCTACCATGATGTTGGATATTTTATACTGCTGCTTACATTTTCTAAAATCCAGACTGTGCTTATTTTTTACCGTTTCGTGGAGTGGGAAACATGCAAATTGCAGAGTACATGAGCTTAGGCAATCTAATTAGGGGTTAACAGTACACATAAATTTAGTACTCCCCATTGTTAAAGAGCTATCTAGAACATATTACTTGAGAAACTATAATAAAATCATTTCTTAGTCCCATATAAAGCTTATAGAAAGCAGTCTAAGTAGCAGTGAAATGATAATAGGATCTAGTGTTACTTCAGATACTTAAGAATAAGACTTTGAATGAAGCTATTGTTGTTGGCCCTAAGTTAGAAAACTGAAAGTAGATTACATTAATTATAACCTAAATCCATTTGAAGTTGTTTATAATTTTTCCTTTCTTTAAAAAATATCTTTATGATAGATCATCTAAATACTATTGTCCATTTCTACAATTAGGTCTTCTGTATAAGTGTTTACAGTATATTACTAAAACTGTTCTATGATGAAATTTTTATTAGTAAGAAATTCAAGGTCCTATATATTTCCCCCTCATTATACAGAATATATAAGGTGCTAAAGGAATGGCATATCTTACAATGCCACCACAATGATGCATAGCTGTGAAATAATTTCTTTACCAGTATAACAGAAATCTCAGGGATGTAAATGGTATATTTAACAAATGCATTTTTTTTTCCTGTGGTTACATGTGTGTTATTTCTGAAGCATGAGAAAAAAGTGAAGTTTATATTATTTTAAATGTACAAGAAGTTGTATACATTTGCAAATGTCATTATAGATAAATTTGTATACCTGGTAAGAATAAATTTGAGGAACTCCAAGAATATAATTTACGTTAATATTTTTAACAATAAATATTAGCTAGTTTTTTTGAAAACTCAAGTAGTCTCATTTTCAGTACTAATCGTGAATGGTAGAATCATTCGTTCATGATTTTCAGGGGCAATTTCAAGTTTTATGATGGCTTTCTTCATCTGAAAAGGATTACAAGAAGGATTTTTTCTTTTTTTTTTTAAAGATTTTATTTATTTATTCATGAGAGACAGAGACAGAGAGAGAGAGAGAGAGAGAGGCAGAGGGAGAAGCAGACTCCCCGCTGAGCCGAGAGCCCGATGTGGGACTCGATTCCAGGACCCTGGGATCATGACCTGAGCCGAAGGCAGACGCTTAACCATCTGACCACCCAGGCGCCCAAGAAGGATTTTTTTTTAATTCAGAAACTGAAAATTAATTGGTTCAGTAGATAGAATTTATAGATTTTTCTAAATCATAGTCATCTTAGAAAAAACCTTTCTGTCATTTAGAAATATTATCAGTTTAATATTGCCTTACAACTGCCTTTGAAAAATTATATCAGACATAGTCTACATTTAGCATGTTTTTCATTCAGAAAAATTGGATCACAAGTTAACATCCAGTGTAAAATCAGCATATATTTACATATAAAAATAAAGTGAAAGAAAAGAATTAAAATCTAAAGGGTAAAAATATCATTAAGTTAAATTAGTGCTTTTTTATATACCATTTGCCATAGTGGTTTTTTTTTCTTGTTTTTATTTAAATTCCAATTAACATACAGTGTTATATTAGTCTCAAGTGTATAATATAATGATTCCACACTTCCATACAATACTGATGCTTACAGCAAGTACACTTCTTAACCCCCATCACCTATTTAATCCATCCCCCCACCCACCTTCCCTCTGGTAACCATCAGTTTGTTTTCTATAGTTAAGAGTCTGTTTCTTGGTTTGCCTCTTTCTTTTTCCCTTTGCTCATTTGTTTTGTTTCTTAAATTCTACATATGAGTGAAATCATACGGTATTTGTCTTTCTCTGACTGACTTATTTTGCTTAGCATAATACTTTCTAGCTCCATCCATGTCATTACAAATGGCAAGATTTCATTATTCTTTATGGCTTAGTAATATTCCTGTGTGTGTGTCCCACATCTTTATCCCTTCATCAGTAGATGGACACTTGGACTGTTTCCATAATTTGGTTATTGTAGATACTGCTGCTATAAACATCAGGAAGTATATGGCAATACAGGTCTACTTTAAGAAGCAAGAAATATCTCAAACAATTTAACATTACACCTAAAAAAGCTAGAAAAGAAACAACAAATGAAGCCTAAAGCTAGAAGAAGGAAGGAAATAATAAAGATTAGAGCAGAAATAAATGACATAGAAACTAAAAAAATAGAACAGATCAATGAAACTAGGAACTGGTTCTTTGAAAATATTAATAAAATTGATAAACCTCTAGCCCGGCTTACTAAAAAGAAAAAGGAACCAAATAAAAGCACAAATGAGAGAGGAGAAATAACAACCAATACCATAGAAATACAAACAGTCATAAGAAAATATTATGAAAAACTAAATGTCAACAAATTGGACAACCCAGAAGAAATGGATAAATTCCTAGAAACATATAAACTACCAAAACTGAAAAGGAAGAAATAGAAAACTTGAACAGACCAGTAAGCAGCAATGAAATTGACTCAGTAATAAAAAATCTACCAATAAACAAAAGTCCAGGTCCAGATGGCTTCCCAGGAAAATTCTACTAAGCATATAAAGAAGAATTAATACCTATTCTCAAACTATTCCAAAAAAGAAATAGAAGGAAAACTTCCAAACTCATTCTATGAGGCAACATTACCCTGATACCAAAACCAGATAAAAACTCCACTAAAAAAGAGAACTACAGGCCAATATCCCTGATGAACATGGATGCAAAAATTCTCAATAAAATACTAGCAAACCGAATCCAAGAATGCATTAAAAAAATCATTCACCACAATCAAGTGAGATTTATTCCTGGGTTGCAAGGGTGGTTCAATATTTGCAAGTCAATCGTGATACACATTAATAAAAGAAAGGATGAGAACCATATGATCGTTTCAATAGATGCAGATAAAGCATCTGTCAAAGTACAACATCCATTCATGGTGTTTTAAATTTTTAAAATAATAATATTAAAATGTAAAA